AAAAAAAAAAAGAACAGGAAGAGAAAGAAGAGTCTTCTCACGAAGCAGAAAACAAAATTACATTTTTGTCATCAACGACGAGAGACGAATATGGTGACATGTTCCTGTTTATTTTATAAATACTGTGTACATTTTTAATCAAACGAAACGGTCCGTAGCGTAAGGCAAATTGGCAAATTGTAGATAGGAAGATAGCAACGAATCATCCTTAATAGGTAACGCTGATTTTTCATAAGAAGTGTTATATGGTACCTTAATTTACACACGAAGCGTGTAGAAATTTCTCAGGTTTCTAGGTAATTCTACTTTGCTTACCATAGAAGGGATCAAAACGGAATGAATTACTTATGTCTGCAGTATTTAGTTTAAATGTAACGTGCCACGTCATAATCGTTTGCAAATTCGTTATTTATAAATGTTTGTTCAATTTGCACTCCCCCGTTTGCGTTTATACCGAAATACCGATATAGAACAACAAAAATTGTGAATATACACGACGACTAGGCATAATACTATACGTAAGCTCAATTTATTCTACTAGCTCCATCAAAGTACGATAGATGTATATAAGTTTGTTAAAAGGAATTAACTCTTATTAACCAAACACAATTTCACTTCCACTTTGAACTACTTAAAGTAATAGTTTGTTGTAGCTAGAACTCTGTATTTATACGTATGTTTTAATAGCGCAGTAACGGTGACCAAAGTAATGGTGCAACTGATTATTTTCAGTAATCTTTATTTTAATGAAAGAATTATTAGGACTTTTTTTTGGTTTGTAAAATCTGTATGTCCGATCTTCGTAGATTTGATACTTAAAATATCGTATAAATGTTCTCGATTCTGAAATATCTAAACAATATTCACGTTATTAAAATTTGTATAGACAAATAATAAAATTCAAATACGTATTTTACAAAATTGCGCTAGTCATTTTAGTTGCAAGTTGATTAATTTGTTTCTGAATAATTATTTAATGATTTGTGAGCGACGACTTTGTTTATATTTTTATATACAAAAAAAATTGCATAATTACACTCGACGTTTGATAAACTCAAAAATCTTAATGTTATGTTGTAAAATTGTACATTTCGTGAAAATTTTCTTAATTTGGAATTTTATTTGGAAATTCAAATACATTAGAGACTATTTATAAAATTTTATAAAATTGACAAGTTCTATTGTTTATTAGATATTATTATAGACTTGTATATTATTAATCAATACGATATTGATACAGGTTGCTGTAAATAAATAATTACACTTTATATAACGTGCAACGACTTGTTTTATTCCTTAATCACATCATATGTACTAAAATATGGTCTTCAAAGATCTTAGAAGATAATTTCTCGTCAATTTGAAGATATATTCATGATCGAACATTTTATAATTTATAACGATATAGCATTTTGAAGAGAGAAGAGAAAATGAAAATAAACATCTAAAAATTTAACAAATAGATCAGATAAATCCGTAACATGGAATATTCGAATCTAAAACCTAAATTTATAAAATTTTATAATAAATAAACATTTTAATTCTCCAAAATAATTTTCTCACACGTTTGTCCATTTAAATGTATAATGTTATACCGATAGTTCCTACTTATGATTATAAATTTTATTATCGTTAAAATAATTTCACAACATTATTACCACAGATGAAGGTATAGACAACCGTTCGGTATAGACCATAGATGAAAAATTAAATAAAGCATTTTATTATAAACTCACTTGACTTTGTCTATTTTAATAATGCCTATAGAAACGTCATCGTGATATTTACAATCATGAATATACTATGTAATGTCCATATCACAAATAATAATTATGGCAATTATACATAGCTTTGATATCAGCGAAGATATTAAGATAGGTTTTCTTTTCTAATATTTATAACCAACCTGCAGCCGTGTCTCGAGGCTTCCTTAAAGTGAATGCTAAGTTGTTCACATCATATAACGATGACGCAACCTTTCTTTCATGTTTTTTAAAAGTTATACTCATTGAAGGTGGAATAGATATAACAATATGGCATACATAATTTTTATATGCAAAATTATTGTGTTTTATATACCCAAAATTTATGTATACCAAAGAATGATAAAAGCAATATCGAATTTTATAACAAAGTATTTCATGCCATATTTTCGTATACAGAAATGATATTTGATGACAATTTTTGTTAAATATTGCAGAATAAGCATTGCGTTTATATTCTAGCATTTGTATAGGGAAAAGATGATATTATACGTTGCACATAATAGATATTTTTTTCTAATTCGTCTGTCATAATATTAGTGTGTGACGAAAACTCTTTTACACTCGACTTACAAATTTACCTAGTAACATTCGATTTACCTACGTATTTCACTGGGCGTTTTTAAAGCTAACTACGATCAATATTTGTCTACGCGTTTTCAGTAAATCATACACGTGATATAAATGCTAAATATTTTACAAAATTTATGAAATTTCTAACTTATAAACCATTTTCGTCTCTTAATCCTTCAAATATTTATTTATAATCATTTGCGATTGATCACCGACGTGACCCAATTTTTCGACTTTATCCACGAATCAGTGGCCATTTTTATGATACCTACAGGAAAGGGAATTTGTTTCAGCTATCAGCTAGGCGGTATAGCTTTGGCAGTCTGTCCAAAACCTAAATTAGGCCGTGTGCCAAACCATGACATTTTCCACTCTAAGGTTTCTTGTAACAACCGCTCTTCCTCGGGTGAAAAATGCAAAAGGGTAGCTACTGCTCTTGTTAAATGAAGAGCCTTGAACAAACAAACAAAACGTAAATTAGAAAATAAACGAAAGGTATCCTATGCATATTTTTTCATTGTTTCCTACAATAAAATATATATTTCAACACTCCATCTTCACATATATTTTACCTCGTATTCCCTACTTGTTAGGAACTTTATAAGAACGTGTTTAAGGTATTTAAAGTTAACGTCATCATCTCTTGTGCTATTGTGCCTGGCAGTGACCGTTTTCGACGAGCTAGGCTTGAGAATCGCTGCAGAAGGCTCGGCATCGCTGTCCAATGACGAGGATGGAACTCTCAACTCGCGTTGAAGGGTCTTTTTCATATCAGTTAGTCGTTGCTGTAACACCTTGATTGTCTAAAAATATATTTAACGATTAACAATCTCGTTGCCTGAAATATATCTCTATTGTTCTATATCTCTCAAGATCTACCTTGGTCTTTTCATTCAACTGCTCCTCCAGGTCCATTAAACTAGTTTTAAGTAGTTTCTCGTTTCTCTCCATTTTCTTTCTATTTTGTTCCACTTCCTCCAACTCCAACATTCTCTGTTTCGTCTCTTCCAGCATTGTCATTGTTTGTTCTATCTCTTTGCTTTTATTTTGCAGATCATGCTCTAAAGTTTCCACTCTGTTTTGCAGTTCAATGTTCTCACCTTCCTGTCGTCGGTTCTCCTGCTTCACCATTTCTATATCCTGGGACACTTGGGCGTTTCTCAACAACGCGGCATCCTTCTCGGTTTTCTCTTTGTCCAGGCACACTTTTAACGTCGCCGACGCTGTCCTCTCAGATTCCAGGTCTTCCCTCAAACGAGCTACCTCTAAATGCAATGAGGAGTTATTCATTCGTTCACCATCTAATGCCAGACGAACATGAGC